AACAGCAAGTATATAAAATTTAAATAGCTATTGAGTGCTGACTATATTAAAGGCATTATGTTGGGTACTAGTAAGATATTATTGCACTAAGTACTAAACAGTAAGATAAATTATTTAAATGATAATATTAACTAGACTTTGCTATAGTCACCTACTATAAATTAAAAGGCTCCTTTTGAAGCCTTCTGAAGTCTAAAAATAAATATTGAATGCCAAATGAAATGGACAACTATACATTTATCCAGTTATTTAGAAATTGTTTGGGCCATTAGGTATACTCCTTAAGACGTACGAAGCCCATCATCATATCTGCAATAAATATAGCAAGTCTAAGGCATTCTGAGTCCAGTGACATGGAATATACTCTGCATTTACCTTATCATTATGGAGAAAGCCTAAAACATAATTAAGGTCAGTTGCTGTAAAGGTGTTAGTTATTTCAGTGACAGTTTAAAAGTGTTTTATATCTCTTATCTTCCATGCAAATAAATGGGTTAAGTTCTATGTTGCTATTTTACCTACTTTGGCTGTATAAGCAGCTATGCTAGGTAATCTCTGCATTGGATCCCTTTGGGCTGCAGGTCATGATGCATACATCCCTCCAGTCTTTAAGCACTGCTTTTGTGAGTGAAAAAACACACTCTTGTGTTTTTCCTCTGCTCTCAAATCACAACAACACCGCAGACTTCTGTGACCAAATGTGTGGTGGGGGTTCTCAATTTGCAGTGGACACCAGCTGGGTGTCCTCCAATTCAATTCCAACACTATCTACACCTCAAGCAAGCATCAAATCCCAAAGGCTGGGGGCCCAGTCCCCAAGACTGCACCACCCCCAGACACCAGTCACAGTTCCAGGCCTCTGGAATGTCTGACTGACTTCAAGTTGGAGTTCATATAACCCCCCTCTTTAGGTTGGATTAATTTGCGAGATTGGCTCACAGAACTCAGGGAAACAAGTTTAACCCGTTTGGTATAAAAGATATTACAAGGGATACAGATAAAGCAGATGAACAGATGCATAGGGCAAGGTATGGGGGAAGGGGACAGAGCTTTCATGACCTCCACAGCATGTTACCGTTCAGAAACCTTCACACGTTCAGCTATCCAGAAGCTATCTGAACCCAGTCCTTTTTGGGTTTTTGTGGAGGTTTGATTATATAGGCATGACTGATTCTATCTTTGGTCGTTGGTGATTAACTTAACCTTCAGCCTCTCTCCCCTCCCTGGAGTACAGGGGTGAGGATGAGGCTGTAATTCCTAACTCTCTAATCCTGCCTTGGTCTTTCTGGTGACCAGCCCCCATCCTGAAACTACCTAGGGGCTACCAGCTATCAGTCAACTCAATAGCATACAAAAAGACATCACTTTGGAGTTCTTAAGGATTTTAGTAGTTGTATGCCAGGAAAAGAGTCATTTGAAAATGACAGGATAAGACCAAATATATATTTAATACTATTACAGTTTTCTTCACGTTCTCTCTCTGATCAAGAACACATAGATACTCCCAAATGATACCAACACCCAATATTAGATCTTGAATTTAAGAATGAAGGCTCTCTATCTATCCACTCCACCTACTCTTCTTTTTTTGTTTTAGAGACAGGGTCTCATTCTGTCACTCAGGCTGGAGTGCCGTGGCACAATCATAGCTTACTGCAGCCTTGAATTCCTGGGCCCAAGTGATCCTCCTGCCTCAACCTCCTGAGTAGCTGTGACTACAGGCATTTGCCACTGCCCTGGTTAATTTTTGGGTTTTTGTTTTTTGTAGAGAAAGGGTCTTGCTATATTGCCCAGGTTGGTCTCAAACTCCTGGCCTCAAGCAATCCTCCTGCCTTGGCCTCCCAAAGTGCTGAGATTACAGATGTAAGCCACTGTGTCTAGCCCCAGTTAGTGTTCTAATAAACTCTATTTTTTCAAATGACAATTATGTACATGTATTACTTATATATTTATGCATAACAAATCGCCCCAAAACGTAGTGGCATTAAAAAACAATAAACACTTCATAGAGGCAAAGGCCAAGTTCCATGAAATATATTTGACTAAACAGCTGGATTTATAACAGAGCCTGCCATATACTATAACACTTCCCAGACAATAGGCAATCTTGAGCAATTGAAATCATTTATTCCCTGATTCTAACTAAAATGATGATGCCTCTGTTTTTAACCCTTTGCACTCGCTTGCTTTTTTCTCGATTTCTTTATTCTACTCGGGATTTAATTTTTTAAATACCCCAGATTTTACAAAGCGCAGCAGAATAAAACTGGAGTTTCTTTTCATACAAACTTATTTGGATTTTTTAATATTTCAATTATTGATACATTCAAAGAGTAATTTTAATCTCTATAATTTTTGCTAACCGTGTTGAGTCACACTTGACATCCTAGTGCAAAGGGTTAAGCACATGTCTTCCAGAGCATACATACCAGAAAGTGGCAAAGGACCTTCCAACATTTTAGTGAAGACCACCACTCTTGACAAGATGAAGCATCCAAATCACATGCTCCTTAGCAATGAGACTGAGTGGACAGATAGGATTACCAGAGAAAGTAAGGTTTGAGTCAAGCCTCAATGACAAAAAGCTAGCCATGAGAATATCTGGAGACTGTTCAGGAAAAGGGAACTGGTCTAAGTGTTAACGCTCTGTAGTAGGAAAGAGTTTAGCATTTGAAGTATATAAACAATGCCAGTGTGGTTGCTATGTAATTAACTTCCTTATTAGTCTGTGTTTTCACTTAGAATTTTTACTGGAGGTCACATGTACATGAATGTCTATTGCAGCATTCTGGGTAATAGCAAATTAAAAATGGAACAACCTAAGTAATCATCAATAGGGGCATGATTTAAAATTTTAAAAATCTGTATCATGAAAAAAAGCAGATCTACATGTTGTTAAGGATACCCATATGAGTGAAGTTATAGAATATTGTTTATAGCAAAATCATATTTTTTTTTTGATTTACAAAACCATACATTTATGTATTTACCTGATTGTGTACCAAGTAAAGCCCTGGAATAACACATATTAACCTGTTGAGAAGTCTGCACTAAAAAACTGATGTGAGAGGGATGACCTTTTATGTTTTGTAAAATTTCTACATTAATTTTTTTCAAGGAGTCTTATTTCTGTAACATTTTATATCACTAATTTGAAAAAGTTCTTAAAAGCTTCTGTTCATGAACCCAGAAATACTGCACTCATAACCCAAGGGAGCTGTGAGAAAAGTATTTTATGGTAATGTAGGATTTATTTGAAGAGAAATGGTCCATCTCCAGTTAAGATTTTTTGCTCTCAGAGTTTGTGTAATGGATAATTACTCTCCATTATGGAGTCTTTTTAATAGTAATGCAAAGCTAGCCATAAATAAATCAAATAATTAAACAATGAAGCTGTTAATTTGCTTATGCCACAGATATATTTGAGGCAAACTGTTTCTGCTGTAACTTAATTTATAAGCTTTTAGAAAATTTCTTAAATTTGAAATCAGTTGATTACATTTAAAACCATTGCTTCCTTGTAAAGACTTTTCTACCATTGCCATCACTCTTTAATTCAAATAATTATTTAATCCCCGTTACAGTCTATACCCTAGTGAATAGGCAATAAGTTTGCTTTTATTGTTCACTCACTATATTCCAGACATTGTTCTAAGTCTTTTATATGATTCAGCAACCAAAACCCAACAGCTCTGAGGTGGGTAATATTATCACCTCCACTTCATACAGATGAGGAAATTGAGGAAAACAGATTAAGTTACCTGCCCAGGATCGCACACCTAATAGGTCACTCAACTAGGATACAAATCTGGGCACTACATGTCTTGACCTTAAAATTTTAAACCCTTTACTAATTCTCTAGTCAATTTACAGTGATTAACAAACCACAGTCTCTCAGTGAATTTACAGCCTACTGGGGGATATGAGCAACAGGTAATTTAAATTTTAGTCATTAACAGGTATTTATCTCAGTAGACCATAGAGTACATGAGATTATACACACTAAATGCTTAGAGTTCAGCACATTACATCCAAGACCTAGAACCGTTTGTCACAATAAATGTTGAGTGAATGAGAGAGGGAAGCGCAGAGTACAGGCAAAGTCTGTACTTAACCTAGATGGAAGAGGTCAAACAAGCCTTGCTGGAGTGAGACTTAGTTTGAAACCTGAGGGTTAAGTATTTTGGTTAAAAAAAGATCAGAAAATGTGGAAAAAATTAGCTTTGTTAAGTCCCCAAATATCAACATGTATGATTGTAGACTTGTGATCTGGAAAACTGATTTTTAACAATTTTAAAAAATTGGTTTAAACTGTTCAACACTGTTTCCTGTCAAATAGAAAATTTAAATGGTTTTTAAACATTACATGAGGCTAGTATTTCCAAACTTTTTAAAAATAAAGCAGTCGAAAATGAATCACACACAACCCTGCATTTTATAAATTGATCACTAATTTTTCCAAAATAGCTTAAGTGTGAGGCATTAGATTATCTTTAGAGCATAAAATGTTTAAAAGAATGACATTTAAGGAATTTTAAGATATTAGACTATCGTACTTAATGAACAATTTTGATGAAATAATATGGATAAATCACCTATCAGTGTATTAAGTAACTGCAGGAAATAAACTGAAGATAATTAGAAATACCTTAATCTAAACCAATGGAATGGCTCATTGGAATGCACGTAATACCCATTGCTTTGTTTCCAATATTTTATGCAGGTAAGTTTATAGCGTTTTTTTTTTAAAGGTACAAATATATCTTCATAGCAAAAATGGGGTAATTTAGGAAGGTTCTATACCTAATGCTTCCCAAATTCCAAACAGAGCAAGTGGATTGGAACCTTAACATAATGCAAAGATGACACTTCCCAATTTCTTTGCCCCTGTTGTGTTGCTTTTTCATAAAACTCAACCCACAAAAAAAGACCCAACCCCACCAAAAAAACCACCTCACAAGAGGATCTGACTCTCACTAACCATGAAAAGACAAGACACATTAAGGTGAAAATTAGCTGCTTTTATTTTTGTTAGAAACAACTTTATGAAATGATTTGCATCTCTACATTTGGGAAATTGCTTTGAATAGCTGAAAAAATAGCTATTGATTGGAAAAACATATGCAAACTATCTTCACTGCCTCCAGACTAGGTTCTTCTTATTGATCTTAGACAGAATCACTACAGCAACAGCAGCTTCTGACACATGGAGAACCAGTAGCAAAGTCCTGCAGTAAAACTGTGATTACTGAGATTGAACTATTCATTCCACTAATTCTCTAAATTTCCTACAATCATTTTTCTGCAAATACAATCCTACTTCTTGTAGGATGAACAAAATGAGATTTTGCTGAAAACAAAATTTTAAAAAAGGATAATTCAACAGAACATACAGCAGTAGAAGGAATGGGAACTACTGCAAGGCCTTAATATCTAGGCCAAATCATCAAAGGTTTTCTAATGGTGATCAGTCTAAGGATTGAAATTAAGTATAAAAATTCTTCTCACTTCTCTAGGAGTGATTCTAGCTCTTCTTGCAAAGAGCTAAGCTGCTCCTTTTCTCGGTCTTCCTTTTGTTTGAGTTCATCCAGCACAGCCTGAAATCTGTTCTTGAGAGCCAGATTTTCCACTTTCATGATGAGATCCTCCTGTCGTTTTGCCCTGTCCTGGGTCTCTTGGAGCTTGCCTTTCATGTTATCAATTTGTTTCTGAATTCCCATAACCAGCTGATTGGTTCCTTCATTTTCTTGGTGCTGTTCATCTGATGTACTTAGCTTGTCTTGTAGCTGTCTCTCCAGATCTTCCTCAGTGTCGAGGATGTTTATATCTTCTTCATCTTGATGCTGTGTCTCATCTTCATCTTCACTGCTGCTGCTGAGGTCATTGAATATCTCCCGAAGCTCATCATGTTCTAATGAGTCATGGCCCTGCCTGTGACCAGACATTCCTGGAGAAGAGATATCAAGGCCTTGATTTTCTGTCTCCTTTGTTTCATCTTCAGCAATTATTTCCCACCGAGTACTGACAGCTTCAGCATCTGTACTCAGCAACCGTTTCACTTCTTTTTCCACATCTGGAGACTCAATATACTTCTTCTTTGCTGTCTTCCGGAACCTCCTTTTTCTGACATTTTTTAGAGGCAGAGTAATTCCGTGGTTCCAGACAAACTTTTTCTCTTTGTCCTTATCCTTTTTCTTGCTTGCTTTGGGATCAGCACTAGCAACTGGCTCTTCCACAGGAGGATAGAGATCACCATCAACTGTAGATACAAGCATCTGGCTGATATCGGCTGTTTTGTAAAAGGTTTTTTTATCAATGGTTTTCAAGCTTTCCATAACACAGGGCAGATCGACCAATTTGGAGGCCAATGGGACCCGGTCCACTCTGACGATTCCATGACGTCCATCAGGGTGTAACTCAATTGTCAGTCTGTCCTTCAGGTTGACATGGCCAGACTGTACTGCCCTCCTCACAGTAGAGGCATATTCTGGAGGCAGGCGTAAGATAAACTGGCTCTCTAGTTCATGAGGAGCATCATCTTTGGTCTTACTCATCTTTATTTCTTTGTGACTCACTTCTCCTCTAATAAACACTTGTTGCACTCGAAAGTTCCAGGTACTGCAACAGTTTAAAAAGATTTGTTAGGAATTAAAATCTCTAATTACAAGGCGTTCTAAGTAGAAAAGCAGTTAAGCGTCTATTATTGTCTTAATTTTGAATTAAGCCCCAAGTCTTTTCTCTAAATACGCTGTGACTTAAGTACCAGTCCTTACTGACACAATGGCTAGTTCAGAGTTAAGTTCATTAGATATAGCAGATGCAATTCCAAATTCCAACCTCTAGGTGCCGCTGCCGGACAACGCCGAGAGAGCTAGCTAGCAAGCAGGAAAGCAAATGGCGGCTCCTGCGGAATGATTTTCGGCACAGAAAGTTAAAGTCCAGCAGACACTCCCAATCCACAAACTTTCCCGGAACAAAGTTATTCAAAAAGCGGGGCGCAGTGAGCTCTCTTCGCCTCGGGTACTTACAATCCAGTGACGATTACAAATGCAGCTGGCCGGGGCCGGAGAGAACGGAGGAGGCAGCCGCTTGGAGCAAAGCGGCGGGGAGCCAAACGTCCCCTTCGCGATTCCTTTGTTCTTCCTACCGCTCGGCAAAGTGATCCGCTGCTGATTACCAACGAAAGGATGCAGGATGGGCACCGCGAAACCTCGCGGAAGCCCGCAGCTCTGAGCGCCAGACGCGGCAGCTCAGGAAGCCTCCGTCCGGAGCTGCAGACGCGGCGGAGAAGGAAGCGCTGAGTCACCGCACGGGGCGGAAGGCAGCTGTGAGTGACAGCACCGCCCGGGCGGAAGCGCGGGCTAACCCAGCGCGCGCAGGCGCAATCGCGCTGTTACGCTGCCTGTCGCGAGACTCGTCTTCTCGCGAGAACTTGCCTTTCCGGGGTGAAAATGACGATGTTTCCTTAGGAATTACTGATTTGAAAATAACTAGAGGTGGCGGTTCCAAGAAAGGCATAGGTCCGGCCCCCCCGCTAAGCCAGCACTTTTACCAGATCGCCGTGGGGCCAGATAACTTCTGGGCTTCCGTATGATTACCGGAGATAAGGAAGTCCTTGCAGTGAGCGGCTTTGCTTCTTGAACATACCAGATGCTCTCCAGGGTATATCCAATCTGGTGCCAATACAAGAGTTTATAACTAACCATACAATGGATTTTACAGTACCCAAATCAATAGAGTGAGGAGGACATTTCGCCCACTATATAATTCTAGGTCTATATTTTGCTAATTATGAAAGTGGTAGGGGAATGGTGCTTCTAAGTTTATTTCTATTTTGGAGGACCCCTAGGGAACAGAGGGTAGTCCTCTTTAATGTGCTTAACGAAGATGTAAATATAAACAGAGAAGTAAATGTTCTTCTGGAAGCACAGGTTCCTTTTGGACACAATTGTCTGACCGACTGATGGTCTGATTAAAGTAGAATATAAATGAAGTATTTCCTGCCTTTCACGTGCCAATAATTTTTAAATTACTTTGAAATTATTTTTCACTCCACCCCTACTATTTTGCTGTTTTCTGCTTGTCTCTTGTATGGATAGGTATTCATCAACACAGATTTTTTAATATCTTGACATAACATTTTCTACTCATTTCTATTTATTTGCATTTATTTTTCAGTGGATCTGTTTGGTAGAGCATCAAAGTCATTTACAATTTAAATTCTGTCTTCTAAAATATTAACAACTGCTCCTAAATCTAAGAGAACATTCTTAAAATGCAATGAACGTTCCCAAAATTTGCTTTATTTCTTTATGGTTGAAAGCTCCATGATAGTGATCTTTTCTATCTTGTTCATCATGTCCTAGTCAGCGTAGTACCAGAACATGGGAGATACACAAAAAGTATTTGCTAATTGAATAAAACAATTGATCTATCTAGAAAAGACATATAGTCTGAACACTGTAATTTGTGAAAGCAAATACATTCTTCATCACTTTAAAATGAGATAGAGCCATTTTATATACATTTTCTCTCTAGTCAAGGACAGTGCCAGTTGTTATGAAGCGGGGAAGTTTGCTAATAGTGTGTGTGAGTGTGGTTTAGGAACACTGTAAAGCTGTATTACGTGAGGAAATTAAATGGTCTGACACCAGTTTGGTTTTTTTATGTTAATTTTAAAAGAGAATTTATGCCCTTCCAGATAACTGCACATAATTTCTCTTTGTTTACAATGTGTTGAAGAATGTTAGCTGGTTTATCTATAATTTCCAGTATGATATAATTCCTTTTTCAAAGATAAAATTTTTTCATTTGTCCTTTAATTATACCTGTTTTTACTTATTTTATAGATGTGAGAATGTAACATGCTAACCTCTGCATAGTGCTTCATTTAACCATATAAAATGTGAGATCATGTTTATACATGGGAATTATCCAAATGTTACTTGGCATTTTAATTTCCTATGAGTTTTATGATGCTCAGATATCCTTGTCACAGAAGGTAACTTGAGGTAAATTCTGTGCAATTCTGATTTGCTAATATTATGACATATTTTAGTTAGTAAACCTTTAAATGGAAGGTTGTCAGACATAATTAAAAGGATTGAGTAAAGTTTTCCTAAAATATCTGCCTCCTTCAGGCTTGAAACATATTATCTGCTTTTGAGTTTAACACATTTTCTAAATGCTGTTTTGGAGGATTATATTGACCCTAAAACTAAAGGCTGTACCATACTGCATCATCTTAATGTCTGGTGATAAATCCAGTTGTTTTTTTAAAAAAAAATCCATTAGACATACAGAAAAACTCTAAATTGATGAAAGAATTACACTCCTGTGGTTGTTCCATGGGATATCTGTGGCACCAGTGAACCAAAGATTTGGGGAGAGCAATAAATTTCCCAGTGTGGCAACAAATCCTCCAAAGTCTTCCTACGTATATTTAAGCAGTATGGCAATCAGTCTACTACAAATTCTGTGTGTTTGAAAATTCCCTTTAACACACTTTCAAGTTCCTTAAAGGGCTGCTTATACTTTGGAGGTTAAAAGAAATTATGGGTTATGGGAGAAGTCATACTTATATTTTGGAGGTAGAAAATTATACAGGTGAGGAAGTAGCAAACATCCAAAAAGGCAAGCTTATATACTACTGTATCAATATATATTTTAAAGGTAAAAAGCAAGTTAGCTAAAAATATACAGCAGTTCCTATATCAAGTGGGGTGCTTTCTGTAGGAAAAAAATCAAAACCTAACTTACACTAGTTTAAACAATAATAAAATCTATTATTTCAAAAACTAGGTAGTCTAGAGCAGCTTTGTCAAATAGTAATATACTGTGGGCCACAGACTCAAGCCTACAGATGTGATTTTAAATTATCTAGTAGTCACATTAAAATGGCAAAAAGAATTGAAATTAATTTCAATAACTTATTTAGTCCAATATACCTAAAATGTAATTGCAATATATAATCAATGTAAAAAGTATTGATAATACATTTTACATTGTTATTTTGTATTAAATCTTCAAAATCTAGTGTGTGTTTTACATTTAACAGCACATCTCAATTTTGACTAGCCACATTTCAAGTGCTCAGTGGCCACGTACTGTATTGAACAGTGCACGTCTAGAAGTATAACTGCCTCTCAGCATGATGCAATCATGGCCTAGCACAAATTGTTTTTATCTTTCTAATTTTGAAGAAAGAACACTTTTTTTATATTTTTTCTATTATTCTTTCAGCTCTGCTCTCCCCTCCTTTTACACTTGCAAAGGCTGTGGTCACAGGATACCGGCCAGCAGTAACTGGAGAACTTCCTTTCTTGTCTGTGACAAGTTAAGGGAGTGGCTTTCCCCCCACCCCCAAGCAGTCTGTCTTTCAATTCAACTGGACCAACTGGGGTCATGTACCTATTCTGGCTCAGTAATACTCACCAGGGAAATACCCTAAGCCTGTATTTCTTGAAACAGTTGGGAAGAGGTGACATTTGGTAATGTCTGGGGACATTTTTGGTTGTCACAACTGTGGGGGTGGGGTCTACTGGAATCTAGTGCATAGTGGCCAGGGATACTGCTGAACATCCTACAAGGCACAGAACAGCTCCCCACAACAAAGAATTGCCTGATTCAAAATAGTACCAAGATTGAGAAACCCTGCCCTAAGCTTATTATTTTAAGCCTATATTCCTAACTAAGCACTCTTAAGAGGATGAGATTACCATTATCGTATTACCAAATTTACAGTGAGAATTTTTTTATAATGTAAAATTCTTTTTACAATGGATCATTTCTTGTGTAGCCATTTTAAAAGTAAAGTTTATATTTATCAGATCCTACTACAGCTATGAATAGGTTTTGCTTCCCTATAGGTACATGGAGGGTGAACACTTAAAGTAAAAAGAAGTGTTAGAGGAGAGGAAAGGGTATGGAAAACCAATAGTATCCATGAAAGGGCTGATTATTTTTGGAATTATGAAAGTATATATGTATTGAACAAGTATGGATAGGCATCAAATATAAACTCTTTATCAGTAATTATATAATGCAATTACTGGACATTTTACATTTTTATCAGTATTTTTTACCTTTTTATAGTGAAAAATTTTTTACAATGTAAGGTTCTTTTTACAATGGATAATTTCTTGAGTAGCCATTTTTAAAATAAAAATAAAATTCATTTCAGTAGTGTATCATCTTGAAAAGGAAATGTCAAGAGGGAAAATTCTGTATTTATTTTAAGTCAAATTTTAATAAATTAAAATGTTTGATTTAAATTATGTGGAAAGACCATTTTATTAATATTTTTCACAAATAAATAATGATTTTTCACCCTTCATACTAAAGCAGCTGGTATCCTAAAATAAGTATCATAAATAAAGCAAATACAGTGTCTTGTGAGGACTTTAAAAAATAACATGGGATAGATATACTGGGCCTCTGGGTACCGCTGTCAGCCAATCCATGGCTGGAGTAAAGCAAAGCAATCCACTGGCGAGTCTGATGCAGTGATCCCGAAGTCTCTTGAGAAACACATCAAGAGGACTCTGTACGCCCCTCTCTTCCACAGTCTGTTCGAGATATCTTGATCAGAAAGTCAGGATGTTTAATGATCCCAAGAGAGGCACTGCCTTTTTTCTTTCCAGCATACCTTTGTAAACTGGAAGCAGGGAGCAGCTATAGCAAGGGGTGTTGGAATGAGCAGCAGCAGGAAGAAGACATAAAGGAAGAATTCCCCCACAATGAAGGCTCAGGAAATGCTATTTCCCTTCCTAATGTCTTTGTTCTGCCTAGACAGCAACATAGCAGATGTGCTGTGAGACTCTGGGAGAGAAGGCCACGAGTCTAAATGTGGGGCATCTTGCCTAAGAACTGCTTCTCGGTGGCCAGTGCTGAGAAGCCATTCTTTACCAACAGCAAAGAAAGCAGAGATGAACTTGACAATGACAGGATAGATACAGCAAATATGCCAAAGGAAGGCGCTAGGCCTCTTGAATTTGAAACCACTGAAAATCATATAAATGTTTTTCATATAAACATATTCATCCTGGATATAAATAACAATGCCTTTTAGTACACATTTTGTTTAGGAAATTCTGGAAAACATCTTAATAGGAATGTTTACTCTTATATCTGCAGATTTGGACAATGGCAGTAACTCTCTACAAGTTTATCAGATTAGTTTCATTAACCATCTCCCCTTCCCCCAAAAGTAAAGGAGAGCACTAGAGCAGTAAATACTTTCAATTTCTGTTGAGGAAACCCCACACCCGGCACTGTGGTGCGTGCCCGTAGTCCCAGTTACTCTGGAGGCTGAGGGAGGCTGAAGCAGGAGGA